ATTAGTTATTATTTATTTTTAATTATTTATTATGTTAAGTTTTTTGTTATGTTGCCCTTTCATATTCACATCTTGAAACTTTTGCTTTCTTTACGTTGTGTTATTAAAACAATTAAATTAGTTGCTCGGGAGAATTTTAATTGTCTATTCATAAATGATTTATAATAATGAAAAGGTTAAGATAAAAGCATAAATTAGTTGTGTTATTAATAATGAATTTTTTATGTTATAATTAAAAGTGTAATAATACTATCATTTTTAATACTATGATTTGTAATTGTTAATATGATAATTTTGAATGAATTTTTTATATTCTATGTTGTTATTTATTATTTATTTTTTTATGATTTTTTATTAATTAATAGAGATTTTAATGTACATGTAAATGGCATAATTTTTCTCTTCTTTTAATTCTTTTCATTATTTTTCCGTTATGTATATATTAGGGTGAGTTTAATTTTTAATAATTCTGTGCTTAGAGTTTTCCGTTATCTATAATAATTATATCAACACTACGCAAGAGTGTCGACACACAATCCGTGTCGGGTTTTTGGGCCTTTTTGCTATTTCTTCAAAGATAAAATTGCAAGGCTGGTCTTAGGACTTCTACATGGTGAACATCAAATCCTATATCTTCGAATTTATTCATTTAGGTCCCTAATTGGAACTTTTGTTTCACAATATAGTCCTGAAACTCTATAAGGATTTATAATTTAGTCCCATGACTTCTATTATTATGCATTACAATATTTTTTTATGCGTTTCCAAGGATACACATCTTTCACCTTTGGATGCACCTCTTGTTTACTTCCCCTTTCAACCCAAATAGATGCATAGATGCAAAACGTGATCAAGGTGACTGCAAAAGAGGGCAAAAATTTGACATGGGTATAGTGTCGACACATAATTTTGATGTCAACACCATATGATAAGCATCCAAAACTCCAACACGGACGTAGTGTTGACACATAATTCAGGGGTCGACACTATACAAAAATCTACATAATAATTTATTTTCATTTGTGGTAGGTGACAACAATAATAAAAATAAAAGAGAAAAATCTAGTCTTATAAATAAAGTTGGAAGAATTATCAATAATAATTAAATTAATAATAGATTACTTAGGAACATTTTATTTATATTATATCATGGATAGTCAATTCTACATAATATGAAAATTATTAGATATTGTTTAAAAGCACATTCATCTTCTTCTTGCTATAGTAAGATATTTTCATTCTTTGTAACATTTTTCTAAGTCCTTCAACAATACTTGAAACATGATCTTTATATTCTGCTTCTTTTTCTTTCTCCACTTCGCGCAAGCGAGATGGTCTTTGAAGAGCTTCTTCGAAAGCTTGCATTTTGGTATAATTAACATCTTCAATTGCAAAATCATGAGATTTCTCTAGCTCCAAGATAGCATGTTTTGCAGCAGATTGTTCCGCTTCTTCCATAGTTGCAAAAGGATAGCCATTGTAAATTAATTTCATAGCAATATAATCCTCTTTTTGGATTAGTTGAACGTTGGAGGCATAATTCCCATCATCACTTAGATTTGTTTGATATTGTGGCTGGCCTAGATTCAATCGAATAGATATCCTCTCCAATAGTTATTTGAAATTAATTCTTTCCACAAACCTAGAGTTTTCCATGCTACAAAATTGTTGTCAAAAGAAAATGTTGAATTGTAATATATAAATAATGTAATTGAAAAAAAAATGAAATAAGTATCAAATGTAATATACCTTTTTGAAATTGTTGGTTGACTCAAATTCCTTCATCAAAAGTTTGCATGGAGAATGAGGAAGGGGTGAGCTTAAATAGAAATCATGCAAGTATATCTCTTTAATTAGATTATTATTATAGGATAGGTTAGGAATAGTGATTCTTTATTTTTAATCATCATCATTACTGTGATATTAAATTTTATTTATATAGTCTATTTAAATTCATTGGAAAAAAACGTATCTTTTTAAATAAAGAATGAAAATAACATTATAGCTTATAATGATATAATAATTGTAATCATTATGATATTATAATTGCATATGTAGTTATTATATTTTTTTAAAATAGTTTTTCAGTTAGATTATTATAATCTGATAGGTTAGGAATATTGACTCTTTATTTTTAATCATCATCATTGCTATGGTATTAAATTGTATTTGTATAGTTTATTTAAATTCATTAGCAAAAAAAATGTATCTTTTTAAATAAAGAATGAAAATAACATTATAGTTCATAATGATATAATAATTGTAATTATTATGATATTATAATTGCGTATGTAGTTATATTTTTAAACAAATTTTCAATAAATTCTAAGTAAAACTTTCTTATTATTTTTTGTCTTGGGTAAGCATTTCATATACACCTTTTGACATGCTTAAAAAAACGTTGTTACTTGCTTAAAAGGACGTTGTTACATCTTCTTGAACAGTTATTTCTTTAAAATTCATGGTAGCAGGATAAACAATAAATTATGATTGTTATGATAAGCAATAAATTTATATTTACCTTTTGACCTGCTCAAAGGGATGTTGTTACATCTTTTTAAATAGTTATTTTTTCAGAATTCATGACTGCAGAATAAGTAATAAATTATGATTGTTATGATAAAAAATAAATTTATTAATAAAAAATAATTAAAAATAATTTCCCAATATGACAATTAAACCGAATTTACGAAAGACGAAAAATTTGATCCTTTTAAATGTTTTCATGATTGGCATTTGGTCATCCTCCAGTTTTCTTACTATTCTTCATGTTCAAATCTTTATATTCTCAATCATTTTATAATTATTATATATTGCATAATAATTATTTCTATGGTTATAGTCTTTTTTAGCCTTTTTCCTTTCTTCTTCTTTATAATTATAACAATAAATAATAAATAAATAATATATAATATAATAATATAAATTTATTTATGA